TAACCCCTGTATAGCAGGAGAGAAAGCAGGAATAATGTAACCCTGTATAGCAGGAGAGAAAGCAGGAAAAATGTTACCCCTGTATAGCAGGAGAGAAAGCAGTAGAAGTGTAACCCCCGTATAGCAGGAGAGAAAGCAGGAGAAGTGTAACCCCTGTATAGCAGGAGCGAAAGCAGGAGAAGTGTAACCCCTATATAGCAGGAGAGAAAGCAGAGAAAATGTACCCCCTATATAGCAGGAGAGAAAGCAGGAAAAATGTAACCCCTATATAGCAGGAGGGAAAGCAGGAAAAATGTAACCCCTGTATAGCAGGAGAGAAAGCAGGAAAATGTAACCCCTATATAGCAGGAGGGAAAGCAGGAAAAATGTACCCCCTATATACCAGGAGGGAAAGCAGGACAAATGTAACCCCTGTATAGCAGGAGAGAAAGCAGGACAAATGTTACCCCTATATAGCAGAAGGGAAAATAGTACAAATGTAACCCCTGTATAGCAGGAGAGAAAGCAGGAAAAATGTAACCCCTGTATAGCAGGAGAGAAAGCAGAACAAATGTAACCCCTGTATAGAAGGAGGGAAAACAGGACAAATGTTACCCCTGTATAGCAGGAGAGAAAGCAGGAAAAATAAAACCCCTATATAGCAGGAGAGAAAGCAGGAAAAATGTGACCCCTGTATAGCAGGAGAGAAAGCAGGAAAAATGTAACCCCTGTATAGCAGGAGAGAAAGCAGGAAAAATGTAACCCCCTATATAGCAGGAGGGAAAGCAGGAAAAATGTAACCCCCGTATAGCAGGAGAGAAAGCAGAAAAAACAGTTGTGATTGGTTGTCCAGCCAGCTAAGTGGCTGTAATTGGCTGTGTAGAGTTGCGTCAGTCGGCGGTATCAAATGCTATGGTCGTGGATTTGGATACTAGATTCCCCTTGATTATGGTTCCAAGTTGCTGACACCATGCCCGTGCTCGTGTGTTTCAAGATGGGGTAGATAACACATCCCCTTGACTTCATATCTCCTAAATAACACATACGATAGTTATCACATCTTCTGGACAACACGTCTCTAAGAAAATGCATCGCCTAAATAACACATCTCCTGGATAACACCCCCCTAGATAATAAATCTCCTAGATAACACATCTCCTAGGTAACACATCTCCTAGATAATGCATCTCCTTGATAACACATCTCCTGGATTATATCCCTCCAAGATAACACATCCCCTAGATAATATATCCCCTGGATAATAAATATCCTAGATAACACATCCCCTGGATCATATCTCTCCTACATAACACATCCCCTGGATCATATCTCTCCTACATAACACATCCCCTGGATCATATCTCTCCTACATAACACATCTCCTAGATAAAAAAAAAAACAACCTCGATAACACATCCCCTAGATAACACATCCCCTGGATAATAAGTATCCTAGATAACACATCCCCTGGATCGTATCTCTCCTACATAACACATCCCCTGGATCATATCTCTCCTACATAACACATCCCCTGGATCATATCTCTCCTACATAACACATCCCCTGGATCATATCTCTCCTACATAACACATCTCCTAGATAACAAAAAACCTCGATAACACATCTGCTAGATAATGCATCTCAAAGATAACACATCCCATAACACATCCCCTAGATAACACATCTACTTGATAACACATATCTTTGATAACACATCTCCTAGATAATGCATCTCCAAGATAACACATACGATAGATTATATCTCTCCTGGATTACACATCCCCTAGATAATATTTCTCCTAGATAACAAATCTCCTAGATAATGCACCTCCCAAGATAACACATCCCCTAGATAATATCTCTCCTAGATAAAAACACATCTCCCAGATAATACACCTCCTAGATAACACATCTACACACACCAGTGAAAGCATCTGTTGCTACATCTCATTGCATCTGGACAACACATCTTCTACAAAATATTTCTCCTAGATAATGCACCTCCAAGATAAAACATCCCCTAGATAATATCTCTCCTAGATAAAAACACATCTCCCAGATAATACACCTCCTAGATAACACCTCTACACACACCAGTGAAAGCATCTGTTGCTACATCTCATTGCATCTGGACAACACATCTTCTACAAAATATTTCTCCTAGATAATGCACCTCCAAGATAAAACATCCCCTGGATAATATCTCTCCTAGATAAAAACACATCTCCCAGATAATACACCTCCTAGATAACACATCTACACACACCAGTGAAAGCATTTGTTGCCACATCTCATTGCATCTGGACAACACATCTTCTAGATCACAAAACACCTGTGGCATGTCACGAATACACAGGACTTCACAGTGTTGATACGATATGCATGTTATGAAGACATATGTGTCACTGCTTATGACATTTCACACTTGTGTGTCATCAACGGTGCCATCATTGTTGATGCAGCTGCTCGCGAGTATTGGCATTTCCGTTTTTTTGTTTGCTGACGTTTTACAAGTGACATGGATTGAAAATCTCTCAGGCATTAACATTTAAATTTGTCTTCAAGCTGTGAAACTACCGAACAGAGGGGATAGATTATAAACGATCGATGGTCGGAGTCTGTCAGCCAGTGTTTCGTTTTGATCACAGCCAGAAGTAACAATGGGGGAACAAGGAACAAGTAGTTGGGATCTGTAAGTAATCTGCAAATAACGAGAATGTTTGCAACATCGTAGATCCAACCATCAGATGTGAGTTTGGTGTTATGTCACTCTCAAGAGTGGCTCAGTTTCCCCAAGTCGTATGAGTGGCTCAGTTTCCCCAAGTCGTATGAGTGGCTCAGTTTCCCCAAGTCGTATGAGTGGCTCAGTTTCCCCAAGTCGTATGAGTGGCTCAGTTTCCCCAAGTCGTATGAGTGGCTCAGTTTCCCCAAGTCGTATGAGTGGCTCAGTTTCCCCAAGTCGTATGGGCTTAAATCAGGAGGAAACAGCATAGCGATGAAGGTCGCTGACGTTTACAGCCCTGCTGCTCGGCTGAAACTAACGAGCACGGATATGGTATCGACAGCGCAAGGATCAAATCAAAATGTAGCCAGGTTTCAAACTTTAGATAAGGAAATCTTGACACTTGAAAAGAGTACATTTTCATAAAAACGCACTGCCTTGGTTTTCAGTGTCACAGGAACTCAATAAAATTCAGCATTTGTGGTATGAGCAAGGCAGACGTTCACATGAACGTCAAACAGGGTAAAAATATGTGAAGCAATTACGCCAAGCTCTTCAGGAAGAATGTGTTTTTTCGGGGTACATAAACTGAGGGGGAAAGAAAGTATACCGAGTTGTTTTTTATGTAATTGAAATGTGAAAGAACCGTTGTTAACTCTCATTATGCCTATTTAACCATCACACCTTCCTGCAACAGTTACAGGTAATCTGTGGCTGGGTAATTTTGTGTTAAAATAGATTGGTTCAATCATAGGCCATTATGGTCTCTGGTTCAATGGACCGCCTCCGTGGTCTAGTGGTAGAGCGTCCGCCCGGAGAGCGGAAGGTCCGGGGTTCGCCCTGTCTGGCGCTCAACAAGGACTGGTCGGCTCGGAGTCAGTATACTGTGTCTGAGTGGGGTATTCATGTTAAACTGTGGCATGGTATGTCAGTGAGCTAGCACTATAAATCGGCATCAGTTCGGACTAGTACAAGCAGCCACACAAACACACACACGTACATGCACGTCGCTATATAAGTGCAATAATCTTGGACGCGACGTTAAACCCCATTTCACCTCACCCCTGGTTCAATGAAGACTGGGGCAAGAAATAGATTTGCAACCTCATGACCCCTACCATGTTCGAAATGGTTTTTGCCGAAAAAAAGCAAATGTATTGATTTTGAAAGATAACATATCTAGGATACCCAGTTGTGTATTATGTGAAAAATTATTTTAATTTTTAATTTTTTTTTTACTAAAATAAAACCATGTAGAAGTATTATTTTAGTGCCGACTAAGCGCTTGTGCATTTAATATTGCTAATTTGAAATCAACTGAGAGGTATAGTTTCTTATTTTCCTCTGTTTCTATCCGAAGTTCTTTTAGTGACACTGAACGTCGGGCCATCGCCATCGAGCATTGGCTATGGCTGAAGCAGGTATGACGTCAGCATGAGTCTACGATCTGCCGTCTCATTGCATGTGATGCACATCAAAGTGTGTGGGATCGTCCAAGTAGCTGACGTCCAAGTGTGACGTGCTTTCTTTATGACCATAGCATATGTTCTAGCGCATACACAATTCAGACTAAACGGTCGGGCAAAGAAAGTATACGCTTGAAAATTACAAACAGTATCAAAACCTTGCTAGTCTGAAAACAATCGCCGAAACACTACCAACTTAAGGTCCAAAACCATGATACCTGCATAAAATAGATCCATCGAATACCCATTTCTTGTTTGTTTCATTTTCAGCCACCATTAAACTTTCTTTGGCCCGGCAGTTTACTATACCCTTAATTTCTTCTCGTGGGAGTCTCGTGTCGATATATCACTAAACACGATGTCCTTTAGGCCCGGCGACCGCCTCCGTGGTCTAGTAAAAGAGCGTCCGCCCGGAGAGCGGAAGGTCCGGATTTCGATCATACCAAAAGACGTTAAAAGATGGTACTTGTTGTTACCCTGTCTGGCGCTCGGCATTAAGGGGCTAAAACAAGGACTGGTCGGCTCAGAGTCAGTATACTGTGTCTGAGTGGGGTATTCATGTTAAACTGCGGTATGGTATCTCAGTGTGCTAGCACTATAAATCGGCATCAGTCCGGACTAGTACAAGCAGCCACACACGACTGTGTACGTCACTACATAAGTGCAATAATCTTGAACGTGACGTTAAACCCCATTTCACCTCACCTCAGCTCTAGGCCTGGCAGTTATGTACAAAAGGGTACTCGTGCTGTGGCGCTCTTGTTTAAGACCAAATCGGAATTAGGTAACACTTACGAAGTAGTAATGAAATCCCAAGTGATAAAATCCGAATATTGTGTTTCAAGCAATTTTAATGTACTGATTAATTACAACGCTTTTATTCACACGTAATCTTCTAAAATAAACTGTTTGAAAAAGTATCTATAGTGTATTTAAACATATATGCGGTAATAAAAATCTGATTGATAATGAATACAAATACTCTACGTAACATGGACGAAATATATGAACTGTTATAACAATATTAATGACACATGATAAACTTTAAAAATATGACAAAGTGCAAAGAGAAAACACAAGGGGATTCGCCATAATATATAAAGGCGGGCATGTGAGCCGGGACACCAAGCATGCATGACACAACACGGGGTGTGGCTACTGGTGACGTGTTCCCTGGGAGCCCTTGTCAGGCACCGTCAAGGCTGAACATACATAGAAGTTATCAGGGTCCCGTGCCTCAAAGCGATCTTAGCGCAAAGGCTATTTAACTCCCAAACTTTAACAAAGCCTTGCGATGATCTTAGCGCTAAGATCGCTTTGTGGAACGAGCCCCAGGCTCTTGTGAAACACATCACGTCAGTGTACAGAGAACATGTCGTCAGTCCGAATCCCCGTTAATTCGGACTACTGCATTGGGTACTCTGCCGTCCGGATTAGCAAGGTTTCTCTGTATACGATAAAGCCGTACCTAATAATGCCATTGCAGGGTTTGGAACAAAACAAGCCTCGCTCTCGTGTCACAGAGTACGTTTTGTGAAATGTAACATCACGAATTTACGTCACATGGCTCGCTTTAATCACAAAAATCACGACTGTCAACATCGATGACTGGGCACATAAAACACACTTGGACAGTTGAATGAGTTTTACGTACAAGCTTATCAATTCGTTAGAACGGCGTTTGTTGTATGTGTTTAGCTGGTACGGTTCTTCAATTAAATGGCTCTGTATGTTTTCAGTTTTAATCTCGGAAATCACTTTCATGTTATGTTAATTGCGAGCTTTGCGGTTGGAAAAGTTGCACACAGAGATGTCTTGCCTTGCCCGTGTGTCGAGCCAAGGTCAAGGTCATTCTATGACGGTGATGGCGGTAGTTACGGCATACTGGTAGTACGCAAGTTAAGAGTGACCGTGTATTGGAAGGCGATACATATGATGCTTGATACAAAGAACGTTGATATTATCGTCACTAACCTTCAAGTTCTATACTACAAGTGATTATTAAGAATACAGTGATATATATTGAGTTTATTTTATGATATCTGGCTCGTGTGGCATTGAGAAGATATAGATAGATACTACCCAAAGATCACCATTCTCGTTCATGGTAATGACGCATGGCGACAATATGACGTGCATGTTAGAATGAACCCTGGTTCAGCAACTGTCAAAGGAGTTCTTGAAACTGCTCACTATATGAAACTGTGGAGGTATTGGCGTAGTTATACGTCACTGTAGCCCAAGTACCGCCAAATCATGCCGCAGAAAGTTTGAATGATATCGTGGCTAATTTGAACATAGATTGTTTTGACTTAACAGAAATACCATGATCTAGAGAATACAGCTGAGAGACTCCGGCTAGGCTAAATACTACGTGATAGTCACTTGAATGAATTAATTTCAAAATGGAGTCAGAGGAAATACGAGAATGTTTCAAAAATATCAGTAGTTTTTTTTGCAAAAATGACTTCTGAACACAACTTATGAATAGAAACAGATAGAATCAGCAAATTTGTAAAATAGATCGAATTATTCAATCAAGCAAAGGACACGTGACTCTTGATTATCTAAGGAACACTGACAACTGGGATTATAGTCTTTGTTCGGTGTTCCAGCGAGCCATGTCAACACTAACCTGTCATAACTCCAGTACTTACATAGTTAGCCACAATCATAAAGCGAAGATAACGTTGTTAAACGAGCCCTGGCAATACAAACACACAGCTCGTTTCCAAATGGGTTGGTCAAAGTCGTGTGCTGCTACAGGTGTTGTGGTCTCCGTGCATGGCAGCGTAGATGTCATCAGTAGGTTGGACAAGCAGGAGATGAGATAGCTGACCTACTATGACCACACCTGTGTTAACAGTCTCTTCAAAAAGTGGAACATGCTTATCAATGATTGAACATTTTGAAAATAAATGCATCGAAAATGACATCAAATGACATCAAATGAAACACCATTAATGACTATGAACATTACCGATTAACACATGTTCAGCCTTTGTAAGTGGTCTCAACAAGTGTATATGATGTTATTCTGTTTCAACCAGCCGACGGTCAGTCTTGGACCACATCATTATCAGGTAGTAATTTGGTTTCAATTAATGCATGACGATATGGTCTCACATTGGCACAACCGACAACACATACCGCGCATGTGCGTGCAACCAAGACTGAAATACCCAGTCTGATCTGACATGAAATAAATGTACAAAACAATCAATATGTTTCCAACGCATGATGGAGCCACGACACTATCCACAATGCAGGCTCGGTCTAATGTAAAATAATAACTTATTTACAGCAAACAAGCGCAGAGTTCACGTTATACCATTGCCCATCGAAACAGGAGAGTCACACCCGTGCCTTGTGGGAATAGAAATCAACTGAAATGCAAAATGTCTCTGAAATGTTAATTACCAATATATGTCACCAAATGTACTTTCAACACGATTTCACCTGAATGCTGTTTGGCATTACGTCAGAATGTAACATGTAACGACAGCTCCTTACGGTTGTAACCGCGAGTGGAGTCACACACCATCAAACGCCTCTATTACATAGTCCGATGCTGTAATATTTGCGTCATAGCCCGGGTTCATGAAATATTCAGGAAACGCTCGCCGGGATGTTGCACGCTTGAGACACTGCCGCTGAGTTAACGTGTTGATGATGTCATCTCCACAGCTCAATATAACTGTCAACAGACACAGTCCATTATGGCGTCATAGTTACATCTCGAATACACAACACGGAAATACCAGTTCTGCTGGTGTTAAAAGAATCGTGCCCGACATGGCTATCCATGTTTGGGGCTCCAGTGTCATTAGTTATTCTGTATGGCAATAATGCAACCTGTATTCTTATAGGACATGTTTCTGATTCTAGAGTTTGAGCAAGTTGTTCAACTGATGGAGTGGGGGTGGTCACTCCCCCCATCCTCAGCATCTCCCCGTAGTTCACGTCCATCACGACGGGTCGGTGTTGTTGGCGATGACCTCGTTTATCCAGTTAACATAAAGGGGTAGTTCTGTGTACACTCCCGGCGCGTTGGGGATGGCGCATCCGATCCCCCACGATACTATCCCCGCCTGGAACCACACATTGGTCGTGTTGGGCTTCATGCACACGAACGGACCGCCACTGTCACCCTGCAATAAAGAACACAGTGCAAGGCTAAAGCTAAAGTGCCGTTAGACCCGTGAAGGTCCAGGTAGAGAATAGGTCTTCAGCAACCCATGCTTGCCGTAAGAGGCGACTAATGGGATTGGGTGGTCAGGCTCATTCAAATCTACTGCTTCCCGTAAGAGGCGACTATACTTGTGGTAAAAGGCGACTAATGGTATCGGGTGGTCAGGCTCGCTAAAATGGTTAGCATGTCATCGTATCCCAGTTGTGTAGATCGATGCTCATGATGTTAATCACTGGGTTGTCTGGTCCAGACTCGATTATTTACAGAACGCCTTCCTATAGTTGGAATATTGCTGAGTGCGGCGTTAGATCAAACACACACAGTAAATTGATGTTACAGTTACTCTACAGTTGTGCTATGGCAAACAAATATGCTTATGTTTCGGGACCCGGTCCACAAAGCGAACTTAGCGCTGAAACGATCGTACCTCTCATACTTTAGTGAGTGAGGTGGGTTTAACGACGCTTTGAACAGTATTCCAGTTATATCACGGCGTGTCAGTTTTATGATGGGGCAAAGCACAAAGAGATGCAGGTCTCAGACGTTTACCACTTCGGTCAAACCCACGAGCCCGGGTATGGTGCTAACAAACGTAGAAACATAATCGGGTCAAACCGGGATTCAAACCCACAATCATGCGTTTTTCTGGCATGCTCAAGGGACACAACTCTGCTCAGCGAAATGCGGAGCCTGAGGCGACTGGGCCACCCGTGCCCCCTGCACTATTGAACAATAATGTTTCAGGTTGCTATTAGAAGCATTCTTTAACATAAACGTAGTAGTTTATTCCATAGAGGCCAAAGGCCTAAATACAAAATAATAACAAAAATACATTAAGGGATGTTTGAAGCATGGGCAGATTGCTACTTCACCCCCTCCCCAACCCATCCAAAGAAATGGCCGACGACCATTCGTGGGTAATAAACAACAGCTACATTTCATGGACATCTGAAATGATAATATAATAACTAATCGTGAGCAAAGGAAATATGTTTTAAGATAAATTATGAATAATTTTAGGACGCTCAGCTTGTAAGAAATTAATCAGATGTACACACTTTGAAATCTACATTAATTTTCGGACAGAAATCGTCGACTCAAAGTATTATGATAAAGACACACTATAACAACATGTTATTCGTCTTACATTTCATTAATATTGAAAGGGCAAATACGAATTTCCAATGCTAACATGGAATTTGCCAACCTACCATATCATTAAATTATGAGAACACTCTGGACCGAGTTAAGGCTATTCTATATTTGGTGACATCATTCTGGAGTAACTATTTTTAATAGTAAGGGAAAAGTTAATATCTATATTTATATTCATAATTAATATTCAAACATAGCCTAGTTTCACTGAGCGACATCAACTGGTTTCGTCACATTTGAGTGTGTATATCTATTAAATTCATTTAAAATAGACTTGCACACTGATAGGCATAAGATCGCTTGGTGGAGCGGGTCCTCGTAAAGACAAATACATTATGTAATCAACACCCGGAAATGCACATATTGCACTTACCGCGCAAGCGTCAAATCCATCCGAGCCACCTGCGCAAATCATATTATCGGTCAGTTTGTAGGGCACCGGGGTCTCTGCGCGTTGTACGGCCGCCTCACAGCTGTGCCAATCCGCGATGTCCAGCTGTACCTGGCGCGCTGCAGGCTCATAGTCCAATGCTGGAAACATCACGAGAACGTCCATATACAGCTGAGTACATGTTTGGGACATGGATACTACTGGCAGACAATACAAGTTTAATACCCGTTTCGACATAAGCAATATACAGCGGTTGTTTGTTTTTTTTGTTCTTTAACGCACAACTCAGCAATATTCCAGCTATATGACCGCAGTCTGTACGTAATCGAGTATGGACCAGACAATCCAGTGGTTGACATCATGAGCATCGATCTACACAATTGGTATACCATGACATGTATCAACCAAGTCAGCGAGCCTGACCACCCGATCCCATTAGTCGCCTCTTACGACAAGCATGGGTTGCTGAGGACCAATCCTAACCCGTATCTTCACGGGTCTATATGCAGCGACTAGAACTGGTAAAAAATTAACTTTGACTTCGATGACAGCGTTCATAACTTTGGGCCCTTAACGTATACTACAGAAAACAATTGTTAAATCAAGGTTGGGTTGTGTTGCCCAAGCGGTTACAGCATTGGTTCGTTACGCCGAAGGACCTGTTCTATTCCCCACTTGTGAACAATGTTCTATTCCCCACTTGTGATCAATGTTCTATTCCCCACTTGTGATCAATGTTCTATTCCCCACTTGTGATCAATGTTCTATTCCCCACCTGTGAACAATGTTCTATTCCCCACTTGTGAACAATGTTCTATTCCCCACCTGTGAACAATGTTCTATTCCCCACTTGTGAACAATGTTCTATTCCCCACTTGTGAACAATGTTCTATTCCCCACTTGTGAACAATGTTCTATTCCCCACTTGTGAACAATGTGTGAATGCTATTTCTGGTGTCCCCACTGGAATATTTCTGGAATATTGTTAAAAGACTCACTCACGGAGAAAAGAAAACAATAAATACCTGTTCTTTTGACACATTATAATGAATAGCACAGTTATCAGTAAATGATTTTTTAATTGATGAATTTATTGCCAAGGTGCATACTACTGCTCGGTACCATGGTCACTGAAGTGAAAGGTAAAAGAAACAAAGTGTTCATGACGAATTCAAATCAAGATTCGGCGTATCACCGTGGATAAGTTAACAGTGCCAAGACATATAAAGACGCTACCTGTATCACTGGACTTGCCCCAGCCGGCGGAGATGCATCTGGTTCCGACGGGTATGAGCTGACCCTGTTTGGGGAGACAGATTGGTCGCAGGTAGTCACTGAACGTGAGGGGTTCGTCCAGCTTGATGATGGCGATGTCGTTCTCAACAGTGTAGTGGTTGTAGCCCGGGTAGGTGAAGAACTTCTGTCCTTTCCTGACCTGCCGGTATCTGGAGTAGGTATCTTTTCTCGTGTGTCCTGCTTGAATCGTCCATTGCAGAAACGGCACGCCTCTACACACCAATAGAACACTTGTCGTAAAATATGTTTAACCACCATACGTTTTAAGGAAAAGATTTTATGGATGTCAACTTCTTTATTATGAGGAAGACAACGTTTCGGAGTATATGCTTACTCCTTCATCACCTGATGAACGTTTCGGAGTATAAGCTTACTTCTTCATCAGGCGATGAAGGAGTAAGCATATACTCCGAAACGTTGTCTTCCTCATAATAAAGAAGTTGACATACATAAAATCTCTTCCTTATGTGTCTCACTTCTAAATGCCTTTCAAAGACATCAAACGGTATGAATGATGTCGAGATTGAATTAAATGTCTTCGATAAGTTCAAATGAGTACGACCAAACATCCCTACATCCAAATGAAACTGATAAAATTCTTACACTCATTAAGGAGGTGAAGCATTGGATATCTGAGAAACGGGTAAGCCTGCCAGTGTTATAGGGCTTCTTTAACCAACATTTCTTATTGTGTAAGTACGGTTTGAGATTATGGAGGTCCTGCGTACTTGGCAGATATTGGCTTGGTAAGAGACTGACTGGTTTGATTCGCACGAAGGCAGGCAGGCTGATGTCTGGCTTGCTTGATATATACAGTCAGGCACTTGTAGCAGGCTCATTTGGATAGTCAGAATAGCAATACCCGGTTCCTAAGTCTTTAATAAACTTTCGTCCGGACAAAAGAAAGTATGCGCTTTGGGACCAAGAAAATAAAAATGTTATCAATCTTTACTTGGCTGCAAACACTCTCTGCAAACGGTGCAAACTTGAGGTCCAAAACACATTTATGATACTCGCATCAAGTGCATAAGCATCGAAATACCCTTTCTTGTTTGTTTCATTTAAGCCACCATCAAACATGGCTATATACATACTTTTGCCCGGCGATTTAGGAGCCACCAAGAGGTTGAGGAAAACACAAGGACACAATAATCATCTGTGGAGATGCCTGTTTTCATAATAACACTAATATTTTACTTTGATCAACATTCTCTTTTAACGGCTTGTTCCTGAAAGTGTCCTTGAAATAGTTGGAGTTGGAGTATAAAGCCGCTGAACGGTATGTCAGTATATGACGACTGTGTCAGCGTTAACACGTGAGTAGAAGCTTAAAAAACTGATGTAGGTCGTTGCGGTTTCCCGTTTGGTAAACGCAAGAGCAAAGAAAGAATGTAAACAAACGAATCATAATCGGTTCCGAACCAGCGATCAGCGGATCCATTTGCGGCTAAGCGAAGTAACTCAGCACAAATGTGATAACTAGACCACTGGACCACCCGTGCCCTTGACCTGCCAAATGTAGGACTTACCCTCCCCCAATACAGTGGGCCGCAGTCAGGATGAACAGTTCATTGATGACGCTGCCCCCACAGAAGAACTTTTGGCCAGAGCCCCCGTGCAGAGAGACAAGCCAGGGCCAGGTGCCCGGTCGCACCTCGTCCCCACCCACAATCCTTAGCGCGTTCGGGTACACTGCCGGTCGGGTGCCGCAGACTGAAGATCAAACACACATTCGTTACACACGTTTTAGTTTAGGTATACTAAAAAATGCGACAAAAAATGTCGTGCGAAAGAAATATGCGGCTGAAAATTGGATTGGACCAAACTATTACAAATGTTATCAAAACGTTACTGTTCTGTCGCCGAAACACGATACTTGTATCAAATAAATCACCATCGGATAACCATTGTTTGTTTCTTATTTAGCTACCATCAGGCACGGTTGTGCACTTTCTTTTGCCAGGCAGTATATATATATACCATCACACTGTATTATGTGACCCGTGAAGATCCGGGGTAGAATAGGTCTTCAGCAACCCATGCTTGTCGTAAGAGGGGAGTAACGGGATCGGGTCAGGCTCGCTGACTTGGTTGATGCATGTCATCGTATCCCAATTGCGTGGATCTATGCCCATGATGTCAATCACTGGATTGTCTGGTCCAGACTCGATTATTTACAAACCGCCGTCATATAACTGGAATATTGCTGAGTGCGGCGTTAAACAACAAACAAACAAACAAACGAACACTGTATTATGTACATTAACACATGAATGTATCGCACTGTGATCTGATCATGAATGCGGGGTCACATGGACACTGGTAGCACACTGACACACACTGATACAATCGAGGTATTGTTTCTGCATTGCGATGCTGAATTAGGGAATGCATTACCACAAAGGGAGATCATTTGGTTGAGATTCGGAAATTGTCGAGTTATCTTGTAGGCAATATAAAATGAGGGCAAAAGAAAGCGTACCTAGTTTGTTTTTATGTAGCTGAATATATATATAAAAAAAGAACTGTTTGATTATGTGATTAAGTCTATTTAACCATCACTCATTCCAGCAAAGATTTGTAAAATGTAATCTATAGCTGGGAAATAGAGTGTAAAAATAAATTGGTTCAATGAAGACGGGTAGGATATGAATTTGCAACCACGTGACTCATACCATGTTTCAAATGTTGTAAATTTGTGCCGAAAAAAGAAAAATGATTGATTTTCAAAGATTAGATGTCCTATTAGATACCCATCAGCAGTTGTGTATAATGCGAATTTTAAAAAAACAACAACATTTAACAGTTTTAAATCGAATTATATTTTAAAAAGTATCACAATGTAGAAGAATTCTTTGATTGCCGACTGAGCGCCATACATATCCATATCGATAAAAATAGAAATGCGATCGAAACTTTTGTCCAAATTGTCCAAGATCCAAAGTTGTAATGACTTCAGAAAAGAAATGTGAATTACATGCAGTGCGCTATTCAGCGATAATTAAACGCAGTACATCAAATGACACGAGCTTGGAATCTTCAATAAAGCACGATTTAACGAAATATAATCGATTAAGCTCGCGGTATCACATGCTACCGTGTGCAACGCCAAATCCATGCTGTGTACACTGCATGGAGCTGAAACAAATATGCCGATGTGTGTCAGTGTGAAGAAAGCATTCGGCCCATGTTTCAGGGTGCCAGTGTTTAATACTTTATATAGTAAACCTGTCAGTATCCCTGATTCAACGTGTGAGGGTAGACAATCAGATGAGAAGGGCTGAGTCTGAGGTGTACTAAGTTACCATTTCTGTATTCTAACTAGTAATTTTGTTTGTTTGTTTGTTGTTGTTTATTGCCCAACTGAGCAATATTCCATCTATTTGGCGGCGGTCTGTTAATAATCGAGTTTGGAGGAGACAATCCAGTTATTGACATCATGTGCATCGATCTAAACAATTGTGATACGATGACGTGGATCAACCAAGTCAACGAGCCTGACCACCCGATCCCGTTAGTCGCCTTTTACGACAAGCATTGTCGCCTCCTATGGCAAGCATGGGTTGCTGAAGACCTATTCTCTACCCGAAATCTTCATGGGACTCTAAGTAGTAATTACAGTAGATTTTAATGATCTGGTTATATTTATTGAAACCGTCTGGTAGTGTTTGAAAACTAACGTTGATACGCACAATAATTGACATGTACATTAATTGAAACATGGGTTCAAGATTATGTATAATTGACAACTGTCAATTCCTAAAATGAATAATGGATTGTTTAAACAATAGATTGTCGTCATAGGCGTGTTGCATCTTTCTTATGAAACGTTTTCTCAACAATTGATAGGACACCTATCTTAGGGCATAATCGGAAGCTGAACAAGCTTCGGGTCCATGGCAATATCGAATACTATTCGCATGACATATCTGAGCAATAATTCACATTCAGACCTCACATGGACAGCCAGATTATCCCTACCAATATTGAATAGTATATCTTCATTTCAATAAGAATGCTGGTGGAGTATATTACCAAACTGATTTTAAATGGGCTTATGACTGGCGTGTCTGAAACGATGAACAATAAAGGCTACAATTTGCTGACTCGACATTCTGTACGTATATTTCTTATGCGCCTTACACTACAGTACCGCGCAAAAGAAAGCATACAATTGAAAAGTGGCGACACAGGAGCATACACGTTTTTAACCAAGAAATTACACTCTTTATCAAAACGTTACTAGAATCATTATGAAAATAGTCCCTGAAACAATGCAAACTCAATGTCCAACCATCCGAAAATGATACCCGTTTCAAATACATCATCATCCAAAAAACATTTGTTGTTTGTTTCAATTTTAGGCACCATCAAAACATGGGTGTATACTTTCTTTTGCGAGGTCGGTGGTTTATCATAGCCTTAATTTCTTCTCGGGGTAATCAGGCTGCGGATATGTCACTAAACACGATATCCTTCACGGTCGAGCCATTTACTATTCTTTCATCGGGTATTGGCTATACGTAAACCTCATCACGACATTGACAGATAATTACACATTTCTCTCTCCTCAAAAGCTTTGTTTCATTTAGTCTGATCATTCGAAAATAGTGTCTATTTTGGATATAAGTATAGATCAATATAAGCAGTGGCAGCTCTAGCATTGTTCCAGTGATAGATACTGCACGCACTCTTGTCCTTCATCGATATATTCTTCTCACTGTGACATCTGGCGTGTATATTACCAGGGAGGCTACATAAGACTTGAATAAACTCCTTGATATTCATCATGTGGTAAAACGTACCAAAACGTTATTATTAGCCCAGGATATATTTCCAACCTGCGTTCAATATGTGGTGCGTTAATTGATGTCGCTTTGATACGCAGTATCCATTTATCAATTACACGTCACAAAGACTGTCTTTTACAGCAGTGCTTGTGATTTACGGAGTTTTCTGGAATGGTGAAGTCGGGCATGAAACGGCTGTTACGAAAGCAGGAATCATTATGTACGGTGGCCCATTAGGGACATGGAGTCTGTTTATCCATATTTTGATATTTCACGTACTGTTATCGTAACCTTTTGCAAATTAACACGATTTGTCATACAAATATGTGATAAATCATGTATAAAAACAACTGAAAACATGGAAAATGTACTTTCAAGTAGCTATTGAATCGCTGAAAAGTGAAACGAAAATGTCAAAAAACTAAAATGAAAATGTCAAAAATCAAAATCGAAAATGTCAAAAACTAAAATGAAAATGTCAAAAACAAAAGCGAAAATGTCAAAAACTAAAATGAAAATACAGATAACTATTTCCACCGCGGTGATAATATTTCCACCGCGGTGTAAATAGTTTTCACCGCGGTGTTAATATTATCACCGCGGTAGAAATATTATCACCGCGGTAGAAATAGTTTTCACCGCGGTGGAAATAGTTTTCTGTATTTTCATTTTAGTTTTGACATTTTCGCTTTTGTTTTTGACATTTTCATTTTAGTTTTTGACATTTTCGATTTTGTTTTTTGACATTTTCATTTTAGTTTTTGACATTTTCGTTTCACTTTTCAGCGATTCAATATCTTCTTTACACATGATTTATCACATATTTGTAAGACAAAACGTGTTCATTTGCAAAAGGTAATGATAAAAGTAAGTGAAATATTAAAATATGGAAAAACAGACTCCATGTCCCTTATGGGCCACCGTAATTATGGGGGTTGAGAAGACTTACTTGGATCTTCACACATGATGTTGACGTGCTCATTGTTGGAGCAGCTTGACCTGTAATGTAACACTGACCATTACCCCTCGGACAACTTACGTTTACGTCTCAAACATATAAGCCTCTTAGTCGAAAAATGGTTCATCGGACAATCGAGACTTGTTATTGTCTTGCGTTGACGTTATGCATATACTCACCGCAAAAAGAAACGCGAACCATAGAAACATAGAGAGAAGTATGTAAGTTAAGAAGAGATGTTTCCAATGGGTACCTACTTAATGACAAAACTAACAATTAGTCAAGTGTAACCACAGTGTCTTTATTCTCATCGCGATATGCTGTACGTGATTTCCAAACTTTACACACTAACCCTGCACGAGACAAATGGTGCGTTTCGAGTCACGGATCTATCACGTCACATGTGATGCGTTCATGAGCGTAGGTTCACACATCATGACAGTATGTTCGTTTGTGCATGGAACTAATCTTATATCTTTTGAATATGAACAATTCTATATACATTAACCAACATGTATGGTATTCGCGTTTCTTTTGAAAGTGAGTATATTCAGGATAGGGTGTTTCTAAAAAATGCAGATTATTAGTTTTTACAAGAATGTGTTTCATTTTAACAATATCAAGTGAGACCAAAAGGACACTGGTCATTGATATTTAAAAGGGCATTAAAACAGAGTCTGTATCAATAATCAGACGTTTTACTGCTGCTATATACACCTACTTCCTAACGGCTACACAAACAGGGGCGACAACTCACGTCCAGTTGAAATAACTCTGTATTTTCCGTGGGTCCTGGTTATTGTTGCGTGGTTGGAGGACAACGGCCGGTCGACTTGAGCCGGCCTTAAACACCGTGCTGTGTACGATCCTGGAAACAACAGAGAGAACGGTTAGTGAGTAGTCGAGATTGGGCATGTACAAATCATCTGGACACTTTGCACTATACATTCATTCTCTTAATCATCGTTTAGTTCAAACGGTTCATGTTGTTAAACCCTCCATGCATCGATAGTCATGCCATACACACTACTCAGTGCCTGATAGGGAAAGCAATTCGGGGTTAAACAATGTGACTGTATTTACCTGTAGCCCAGCTGATTACAGACGATGTTGCTGAGCGCCATAAAAGTATTTACCTGTAGCCCAGCTGATTACAGACGATGTTGCTGAACGCCATAAAAGTATTTACCTGTAGCACAGCTGATTACAAACGATGTTGCTGAACGCCATAAAAGTATTTACCTGAAGCCCAGCTCATTACAGACGATGAAAGTATTTACCTGTATCCCAGCTGATTACAGACGTTGAAAGTATTTACCTGTATCCCAACTGATTACAGACGATAAAAGTATTTACCTGTAGCCCAGCTGATTACAGGCGATGAAAGTCTTAACCTGTAGCACAGCTGATTACAGACGATAAAAGTATTTACCTGTAGCCCAGCTGATTACAGGCGATGAAAGTCTTAACCTGTAGCACAGCTGATTACAGACGATGAAAGTATTTACCTATAGTACACCTGATTACAGACGATAAAAGTATTTACCTGTAGCCCAGCTGATTACAAACGATGTTGCTGAACGCCATAAAAGTATTTACCTGAAGCCCAGCTGATTACAAACGATGAAAGTATTTACCTGGAGCCCAGCTGATTACAGACGATGAAAGTATTTACCTGAAGCCCAGCTGATTACAAACGATGTTGCTGAACGCCATAAAAGTATTTACCTGCAGCCCAGCTGATTACAGACGATGTTGCTGAACGCCATAAAAGTATTTACCTGAAGCCCAGCTGATTACAAACGATGAAAATATTTACCTGGAGCCCAGCTGATTACAAACGATGAAAGTATTTAACTGAAGCCCAGCTGATTACAGACGATGAAAGTATTTTCCTGTAGCCAAGCTGATTACAGACGATGAAAGTATTTACCTGTAGCCCAGCTCATTACAGACGATGAAAGTATTTACCTGTATCCCAGCTGATTACAGACTTTGAAGGTATTTACCTGTATCCCAGCTGATTGCAAACGATAAAAGTATTTACCTGTAGCACAGCTGATTACGGAAGATGAAAGTATTTACCTATAGTACAGCTGATTACAGACGATAAAAGTATTTACCTGTAGCCCAGCTGATTACAGACGATATAAGAATTTACCTGTAGCCCAGCTGATTACAGACGATGAAAGTATTTACCCATAGCCCAGCTGATTACAGATGATGAAAGTATTTACCTGAAGCCCAGCTGATTACAGACGATGAAAGTATTTACCTGTAATCCAGCTGATTACAAACGATAAAAGTATTTACCTGTAGCCCAGCTGATTACAGGCGATGAAAGTCTTAACCTGTAGCACAGCTGATTACGGAAGATGAAAGTATTTACCTATAGTACAGCTGATTACAGACGATAAAAGTATTTACCTGTAGCCCAGCTGATTACAGACGATATAAGAATTTACCTGTAGCCCAGCTGATTACAGACGGTGAAAGTATTTACCCATAGCCCAGCTGATTACAGATGATGAAAGTATTTACCTGAAGCCCAGCTGATTACAGACGATGAAAGTATTTACCTGTAATCCAGCTGATTACAGACGATGAAAGTATTTACCTATAGTACACCTGATTACAGACGATAAAAGTATTTACCTGTAGCCCAGCTGATTACAAACGATGTTGCTGAACGCCATAAAAGTATTTACCTGAAGCCCAGCTGATTACAAACGATGAAAGTATTTACCTGGAGCCCAGCTGATTACAGACGATGAAAGTATTTACCTGAAGCCAAGCTGATTACAAACGATGTTGCTGAACGCCATAAAAGTATTTACCTGAAGCCCAGCTGATTACAGACGATGTTGCTGAACGCCATAAAAGTATTTACCTGAAGCCCAGCTGATTACAGACGATGAAAGTATTAACCTGTAGCACAGCTGATTACAAACGATGAAAGTATTTACCAATAGCACAGCTGATTACAGATGATAAAAGTATTAACCTGTAGCACAGCTGATTACAGACGATGAAAGTATTTACCCATAGCACAGCTGATTACAGATGATAAAAGTATTAACCTGTAGCACAGCTGATTACAGACGATGAAAGTACTTACCTGTAGCACAGCTGATTACAGACGATGAAAGTACTTACCTGTAGCACAGCTGATTTCAGACGTTGAAAGTACTTACCTGTAGCCCAGCTGATTACAGACGATGAAAATACTTACCTGTAGCCTAGCTGATTACAGACGATGTTGCTGAAGGTCATGTTCCAGCCGTCCGAGCACACAGGGAGCCACTGGTTCGTCTCCGGGTCCCTGGCTTCCACTATCCTCTGTTGGGCGTGGGTCCCCAGGCGAACTGAAGCAACAATTTGAAATTGTTTATTTGCAGGTACACGTAGTTTTTGATCCCTATTTACCCTTAAGCCAAACAGAATATTTATTTGGATAAAGAACGCAAGTGTACATTTGATTTAAAAATGCGTAAAATGAATAAATTAAAAAGGGTGTGTTTGTTAACCAAATCTATTCATACAAATATTTAATGATTTAACATTCTTTTTGATTAAAAGTCATGCTTTTACTGACCTAAGAATGAAATACATTCATCCTAAATACTACTCTAATCCGTCACTATTATACAGCTGTCAGAGTTTATACTCAATATCATGAAATTACATACGTCACTTCATCAAGAGTTTTCGTCAGTAAATACTATGAATAGGAAAGCAAGGAAAGCAAAAGCGTGCCAATGGTTAAATAATTTTACGTTTTTGTGACAAAATCGTTTTCGCATCCCTGTTGTCTAACCAGTTTTGGAACCTACCACACTCAGACTCCTCCACAGCGCCGACACAGTCAGTGACGCCGTCACATACGGAGTTCTTGTTAACGCACATCCTGTTTCCGGAGCACAGATGCTCATTGGCAGCACAAGTTGCTGCAAAGACAAGAAAACCAGGATCTAAGGCATCAACATGGCGCCAATGTTAGGCTGTATTTTGAAATTTCACAAAAGCGGATATATTATCTGAAACCGCTAAGCGGAAACATTGCAATCTGTAACACACCAGCAGACACCATTAGCAAATATAGATCTTAGAATTATACAACATAACTCCATGTCGATGCTATACATATCAGTTCTTCTTGAAGTCTAGAGCAAACACTTGATTGGCTACTTGCTCTCTGAACCCGAGGAGACGAACTGATCAGCTTAAATACAATGAATACACAATGCCATTTAGAAAGTGGGCAAATGTAACAAATGTTATAGTTCGGATAACACTTATCATTGAGTGAGTGAGTTGGGGTTAACGCCGCTTTTAACAGTATTCCAGTTATATCACGGCGTGTCAGCTTAATGTGGGAGGAAAGCCCGAAGTGATGCAGGTCTCAGACGTTTACCACTTCGGTGAAACCCACGAGCACGGGTATGGTGCTGACAAACCTAGAAACATAATCGGGGCGAACCGGGATCCGAACCCACAATCATAGGTTTCTTGCGTGCCCAAGGGACGCAACTCTGCACACCGAATCAATGGCCTTAGACGACTGTGCCGTCCGTGCCCCCTGATGACAATCTAGACTACCAGTTGTCGGACTTTCATTTTTGTGGAAGCCTCGGTGGCTGAGAGGGTTAGATCGCTGACTTTGTGTGCGGGCGAGTAGGTGCCTCACTCTGGGAGTGTAGGTCCAAATTCCGAATGGGACCCGACCCCAAACAGAACCAGTATCTGTACTTTACTAAGAAAGTGTTATCCCAAATAGAACATGTCTTATATGTCTTACATCCAATGTCTGGATATGGAACGTCGATCTGCCAAATTATGAAAACACGTTCACCTAAGAAGTTGGAAGCCAAACTGTTACCCACCCACCCAACCCATGCCTCTCGAGATAAAACAGCCCCATTGTGGTGCTCACCGCAGTGGTGTTCGTCCATGTTGTCAGCGCAGTCTTGGTAGCCGTCGCACACCCAGAGGTTGGAGATGCACGTGCCGTTGTCACACCGGAATTCGTCCCGCCTGCATGCTGTAAAGAGATTATCCACTACCTGCAACTTGGTGGATTAACTAGCGAGTAGGAAGTGTGTGTAAAGAAACTGGACAACCCGTATACATGGTCAAAACTGTTTTTAGATCCTAAACACAAACGTAAACACGTCCCTTGTTCGCTTTATAACTGTATAAATGGGTTAATTTGGGTGGGGTGGGGTGGGGGTGGGGTGGGGGGGGGGGGGGGGGGGGGGGGGGGTAGGGGGGTGGGGGGGGTGAGTTGCATTAACTAAAAACTGTTCAGGATCAATCGTAGTAATCAGGCCTACTTTCATTGTGAGCGTCCTGTGTGAGAGAAATACGAGTAGTCACACAGCAACAACTCATTTAGAAACACATAGTTTTTTAAACCTGGGCGGGATACGAACCTGCAACCTTTTGATTTGTAATCCTTCACGATATCACCTTTGATACGGAGACTGTTGTCATTTTGTCCTAGTCTCCGTTAACCGAGTTTGGGTAAGTTGCTGTTATTATATAAATACTGCAGCAAGTTCGTTGTAAGTCCTGGTGGTATATGTGTTATGCAAGTGCAATTTCAATATACATTTTACATCTTATCCACGTTTGACTTATTGTCTAATGCCCTCTATTGAAATATTTTTTAAATAATGTTTAAATTTGAAACATGTTTAAATTCGAAACACGTTAAAACGTGTTTAAATTCTAAACATGCTTAATCTCTAAATATGCTTAAAATCTAAACATGTTTTAACGTGCTTAATTTCTGACCATGTTTCGAGTATGGGCATTTTGTGTTTAGGTGGTGTTTAGACTGTGGGACGGTAGCTCATTTCATGTGTGTTTAGACCTAAATGCGTTTAGAAAGAACATACCAGATGTGTGTATTCCGTTTATGACTGAAACACATTCCTAATCATGTTTAGATCTAAACAGGTATTGTCAGCGTTTACATCCTAAACACATTTTTACGTGTATATGAAAAAATGAAAAATACAAATACGACATGACGTTCTTTGGCCATGCACGCCAACCAGCGTGTTTAATCTATACACGCGTCTGATAGCGATCTGAGACATTATTGTCAAATAGTGCAGGGGACCCATGCTTGCAGTAAAGGGCGACTATGCTTGTCGTAAGAGGCGACTATGCTTGTCGTAAGAGGCGACTACCAGGATCGGATGGTCAGGCTCGCTGACTTGGTTGATGCATGTCATCGTATCCAAGTTGGGTGGACCCGTGCTTATGATATCAATCACTGGAATTTCTGGTCCAGACTCGATTATTTACAGACCGACGTCATATAGTTGGAATGTTGCCGAGTGAGGCGTTGAACAACATGAAAACAAATGTTGAAACCGCAATGCCCACATTCTGAAGTCAAAGACTATTTTGTTTCCCCATCTGATATCAATGGATACACCAAGCTACCACTTCCGCCGTTAAGTATTTGCAAAGTGTCCACGCGGGCTACCACTCGATAAGAACAACAGTATTTCCTGTCGGAATATCAGACTTTTTACGGCAAAGAAACATATTTGTACGGAAGACTGACCCAATGTAAGCCGTGACCCATCGTCACCTGCTTATAGCCGGCGCCAGAACGCTGGATCCCGCTCGTAGCTGCTGAAGCCGATGGACGCTCCGCAAACACCAGCTACAGCCTCGCTATCAACTACCTATCAAGTATGTCCAAAGTCCACTTGCCGTCACGCTAAGTTCCCAGCGATGTCTTGCCGTCATTATTTAGCCGTCCCTCAAACTCGGCGAGGGGTGGGATCTTTGGTGTTACCATTGATTGCAAAACAATGTAAAAGCAATTCTGGTTCCTGTTTGTTCGTGTTATCATCATGGGGTATAAAGCCTAGTGTTTTACCCAGTTTAATGTGTACTTGAACCAGAAATCCCTCATCATGAGACTGCGCGGAACAGGTATGGGACAGATTCATCAGATACAAAGTCAAACTTAATAACTAAAACTAATTAAATATCCAGTCATGTCTCTTCTTGATCTTTGGAGCGAGTGAGTGGGGCTAACGCCACTATTAACAGTATTTCAGTTATATCATTGCGCGTCAACTTAATACACTCTTCAAGAAACGAAACGCATAGTAAAAAAATAAGGATATTTATTAAGCAGATGTAAAAGTATCTACACAGAATATGCGTGAACACAATCAAATGAAATTAGACACAGTGATCGACAAAAGCATTGTCGTAATTGTCAGCTTTAATTCAGTTTAGTCATTGCACATGTGTAGCCACAAGGGGGCGTCATGGTCAGTACCTGGTCACATCACCTCTTGCAGCCGTCACTGCTCGACATGTCCTTGGAACAGATTGCACAAGTCGTCGGATTGTTTTCGTGGGGAATTCTTCGCCATTCCTCCTGTAAGGCGTTGGCGAGTTGTGCCAGTGTGTGGGGACGCTGGTGACGTTGACGGACGCGTCGATCAAGTTCGTCCCACAAATGTTCAATCGGGTTGAGATCAGGCGATTTGGACGGCAATGGAAGGACATTGATGTTCTCATGAACAAGGAAATTAGCTGTTGCACGTGCTGTGTGGGGCCGAGCGTTGTCATGTTGGAGCAGCTCCCTCTGGCGGTCCAAAGTTGGGAGGAGGTGAGGACGCAGAATTTGGTCTATGTATCTGTTTGCTGTAAGATTGCCCTGGACAACCACTAACTGTGATCTACCCGTGTAGGATATGGCTCCACACACCATCACACCCTCCACCAAATCGGTCCACCTGTCGAACGCATTTTGGCGCAAAACGTTCATGTCGACGTCGATATACACGTTGTCTTCCATCCCGTCGTTGAAGAAGAAAACGTGACTCATCGCTGAACAAAACGCGTCGCCAGTTCCTGAGATCCCATGCCTGTACTCTGTTGCACCACCGGACACGTCGTTGACGGTGAAGACGTCGCAAGACAGGTCCACCTTTTGGTCGTCTCGCTCGAATTCCCACTCCCCTCAGTCGATTTCTGATGGTTTGGTCGGAAATTCTTCGCATACCAGGCACTTGTCCGTTGCTGTAGCAAATCGATTCCGAAGGTGATGCAACCGGATGTACCGATCCTGAGCAGGGGTGGTCACTCTTGGTCTTCCACATCTGGGATGATCTTGAGTCGAATTAGTGCGGGTATATCGATCCAATAGTCGAGATATGGTGCTTTGGTGAACGTTGAAGTGTCTTGCAACGGCAGACTGGGACTCCCCTGCTTCCAAATGTCCAATGGCAATATTTCGATCAGCTGCGGTTAATCTTGGCACTTTTCGATCTCCGTTCACGTCAGAAAATTCGTAATGAACTGATGAAAATTGTACGGTCTTTTATAGTCATTGTCTCTACTCTTGTTTCCAACATTTTGCACGTGCATTGTGCTGAAAACTTTTTCTGAAAGCAATTTCCGTTTACAAAAAGCATTTTGAGATGTGTTTTCGCGCAATGCAAAACAAACAGGAATCAAACATAAGAATAGTCTTTATGACGATTGCTGGGAAAGAAAATCTAATTGGAATTCTCAAAACACCTATGCGTTTCTTTTTTTGAAGAGTATATCAGGGGGAAGCCCGAAGTGGTGCAGGTCTCACACATTTACCAATTTAGTGAAACCCACGAGCACTGGTACGGTGCTGACAAACCTAGAAACATAATCGGTGCGAAGCGGGAATCGAACCTCCAATCATAGGTTTCTGGCGTGCCCAAAGGACGCAACTCTGCACAGCGGCTTAGACGACTGGGACACCAATGGCAACCCTTACTATTTTGAATAGACATTCATACGACTAGGCACACATCGTATGTAGTTACACGTCACGGGAAACGTTCTGATGTTTCAGGGGAGGTCGGGTAGCCTAGTGGTTAAAGCGTTTGCTCGTCACGCCGAAGAACCGGGTTCGATTTCCCACATGGGTACAATGTGTGAAGCCCATTTCTGGTGTCCCCTGCCGTGATATTGCTGAAATATTGCTAAAAGCGGCGTAAAACCATACTCACTCACTCACACACTCTCATCCACTCATCATCCTCTGTATGTTACAGCTGCAGTTTCACATAGATTTATAAAAAGTATTCGTTAGACATAATTTGAGACATACTAAACCAAAACAAATTAGTGATCATGAATAGTTTTCGTGAATCCAACCAAAGATAACCTTTTACAAAATGTTGTTGGAATGCGTGATGGTTAAATAGACAGAATCTCATTTGACAAAATATCTTTCAATTTTCAGTTACATAAAAAAAATCGTTATACTTTCTTTTGCAACTCAGTTAACAACATATATTTGAACAGGTAAAATCGACAGAAATAACAATTCAGTCAGATCCAAGGACACTGTGGTTTTCAGAGTAGATGAGGTGAAGTGAAATTGGGTTAAAACGTCGCGTCCAAAATTATTGCACTTATAGCGACGTGCATTTGTGTGTGTGTGTGTGTGTGTGTGTGTGTGTGTGTGTGTGTGTGTGTGTGTGTGGCTGCTTGTACTAGTCCGAACTGATGCCGATTTATAGTGCTTGTCCACTGAGATGCCATGCCGCAGTTTAACATGAACACCTCACTCAGACACAGTATACTGACTCCGAGCCGACCAGTCCTTGTTTTTACCCCTTAATGCCGAGCGCTAGACAGGGTAACAACAAGTACCATCGTTTAAAGTCTTTCGGTATGACCCGGCCGGGATTGAACCCCGAATCTTCCGCTCTCCGGGCGGACGCTCTACCACCAGAGCACGGAGGCTGTTACTTTCAGAGTAAGATCACGAAGAACAGACACACATATTATTTCAGAAGTAGAGGGAAATATCAATTCATTTCTAAATAGGCCAACGTCAAATAGTTCAGATATCCATTCCTGCAACACCCTGTATGCCTTTTTCAAAATATGACAAACTACTTGTCTAACGTATGAAATAAGACAAACTACTTGTCTTACTTATGAAATAAGACACACAACTTGTCTAACGTATGAAATAAGACAAACTACTTGTACTAACGTATGAAATAAGACAAAATACTTGTCTAACGTATGAAATAAGACAAACTACTTGTCTAACCTATGAAATAAGACAAACTACTCGTACTAACGTATGAAAATAGCGACCGCCTTTCAGCTAATCTGTCCGTATTAAGGGTCATATTACTGGACATCCGTAGTACCAAATGCGGTACACAATGTACTAAATGCATGTATTTATTAACGGTCATACGGTGTACGGTATAACCTGATGATCTTAAGTATATGCGCACAATAATGTGAGATTCAGGTTGATGGTATAACATGATGATCTATAGTATATGCGTACAATGATGTGAGATTCAGATGTATGGTTTAGCCAAATGATCTATAGTATATGCGTACAATGATGTGAAATTCAGGTGTATGGTATAGCCAAATGATCTATAGTATATGCGTACAATGATGTGAGATTCAGATTTACGGTATAGCCAAATGATCTATAGTATATGCGTACAATGATGTGAGATTCAGATGTATGGTTTAGCCAAATGATCTATAGTATATGCGTACAATGATGTGAGATTCAGATTTCCGGTATAGCCAAATGATCTATAGTATATGCGTACAATGATGTGAGATTCAGATTTCCGGTATAGCCAAATGATCTATAGTATATGCGTACAATGATGTGAGATTCAGATGTATGGTTTAGCCAAATGATCTATAGCATATGCGTACAATGATGTGAGATTCAGATTTACGGTATAGCCAAATGATCTATAGTATATGCGTACAATGATGTGAGATTCAGATTTCCGGTATAGCCAAATGATCTATAGTGTATGCGTACAATGATGTGAGATTCAGATTTACGGTATAGCCAAATGATCTATAGTATATGCGTACACTGATGTGAGATTCAGATTTACGGTATAGCCAAATGATCTATAGTATATGCGTACAATGATGTGAGATTCAGATTTACGGTATAGCCAAATGATCTACAGTGTATGCGTACAATGATGTGAGATTCAGGTGTATGGTATAGCCAAATGATCTATAGTATATGCGTACAATGATGTGAGATTCAGGTGTATGGTATAGCCAAATGATCTACAGTATATGCGTACAATGATGTGAAATTCAGATTTACGGTATAGCCAAATGATCTATAGTATATGCGTACAATGATGTGAGATTCAGATTTACGGTATAGCCAAATGATCTATAGTATATGTGTACAATGATGTGAGATTCAGATTTACGGTATAGCCAAATGATCTATAGTATATGCGTACAATGATGTGAGATTCAGATGTATGGTTTAGCCAAATGATATATAGTATATGCGTTCAATGATGTGAGATTCAGATTTACGGTATAGCCAAATGATCTATAGTATATGTGTACAATGATGTGAGATTCAGGTGTATGGTATAGCCAAATGATCTATAGTATATGCGTACAATGATGTGAGATTCAGATGTACGGTATAGCCAAATGATCTATAGTATATGCGTACAATGATGTGAGATTCAGGTGTATGGTAAAGCTGTGCAGTCACACTTTGAATATCACGGTGGATCTAGTCTGGGAGAGTCAAGTACTAGCCTCACCTCCTTTCTCCGGCAGTTCGTGTGCCTCGTCGTATCCAATACAGATGTTTTCATCCGGGGAATCGGGGAACTTGGTACAGTTCAGATGGGGAGGCCATCCAAGGTAGAAGATGTGCAGGTAAATCTCACAGCGTGACTTGAATTCTATAAGAACAGCAATGCATTGATATAGTATGGAAAGTTTGTTCCCATTGTCCCCAATACGAGTTGAGCTATTGTCCCAAATATTACCCGTATGGGAGTTCAACTATTGTCCATAAATGACCGACATGGGAGTTCAACTATTGTTCCAAATATTACCCATATGCGAGTTCAGCTATTGTCCGAAATATCACCCATATGGTAATTCAGCTATTGTCCAAATATTACCGACATGGGAGTTCAACTATTGTTCCAAATATTACCAATATGCAAGTTCAGCTATTGTCCATAAAATGACCGACATGGGAGTTCAACTATTGTTCCAAATATTACCCATATGCGAGTTCAGCTATTGTCCGAAATATCACCCATATGGGAATTCAGCTATTGTCCAAATATTACCGACATGGGAGTTCAACTATTGTTCCAAATATTACCAATATGCGAGTTCAGCTATTGTCCCAAATATTACCCAAATGGGAGTTCAGCTATTGTCCCAAATATTACCGACATGGGAGTCCAACTATTGCTCAAATATCACCCAGGCAGGAAACATACCACTGATCCAAATATTACCAGCGTTTGAATTAAACCATTATTCATTATTAATAACTCCTCCAAATCGTGATCTTCACCTGCCGTTACGCAGTAATATAACATGGACAAGAGCTGGCTGTGTCCTAAGCAAATAACAAAGAATCGAACGGCACGAAACTTATGGAGCTTCTTACCTTGGCACAGACTGCGACAAGGCGGGATGATGTGATTGGGCACATGACCTGTCCCACTGCATTTGGGGATGAAGGCCGCGCAGACAAAGAGTCTGGCGTATTTGAAGCAGTGGGTGGCAAACTGGATTCCCTTGATAATCGTCGTGAGGTTGGCCTTCACCTCCTTCTCCCCGTAGCTGCCCACGGTGTTGGGGAAGGAAGTGTAGTTGTAGCCCACGTCCTCACAGAGCTCTTCCTGCACTGGTATACATTTCCCCGCTGAAGACAACAACGTTGTCGGCGTTATCAGGGTTGATATATATATATATATATATATATATATATATATTCCAAGTTTCTATGTTTATCTGTAAACTGTCTGAGTGAGTGAATGAGTTGGGTTTAACGCCGCTTCGAACAGTATATAAGTTTTATCACAGCGAGTCAGAAAAGAGAGCAAAGTATTGCCGGTCTCAGGCGTTTACCACTTTGTTAAAACCCACGAGCATATGTATGGTGCTGAGTTTGATAAAGTTATCTGTTTTCATAAACAAATTAATTATTTAAAGTAACAGTAACCTGACTTTGCAGGACAAAAGACAACAGTAAAACGTCTACCGCTAACTGTCTGTGATATCCGGGTAGTACTTACGTTCATATAAACTGGGTCTGCAGACAGTGGGGTTGGAGGACTCCGGCAGCCTGGAGCAGTCCACGGGGAATGTGATGTTGTCGGGGTAAGCGCCCACACACCGGGACCGCACCTCTGGTAATACACAGGTTAAAGAGGTTGCAATATCTACCTTTTAACATAATGCAATTGTTATAAAATGTTTTTAAAGAATTGGGCATCAGTGAACGGGTATATTCAAGGCATATGGGTATATTCAAGTAACTCTCACTCTCACAGTTACTCCAACAAAGGTGTGTGGGTATATTCAAGTAACTCTCACTCTCACAGTAACTCCAAAAAGGTGTGTGGGTATATTCAAGTAACTCTCACCCTCACAGTAACTCCAAAAAGGGTGTGTGGGTAAATTCAAGTAACTCTCACTCTCACAGTAACTCACACAAGGGTGTGTGCGTATATTCAAGTAACTCTCACCCTTACAGTAACTCCAACAAGGGTGTGTGGGTATATTCAAGTAACTCTCACTCTCACAGTAACTCCAACAAGGATGTGTGGGTATATTCAAGTAACTCTCACCCTTACAGTAACCCCAACAAGGGTGTGTGGGTATATTCAAGTAACTCTCACTCTCACAGCAACTCCAACAAGGGTGTGTGGGTATATTCAAGTAACTCTCACTCTCACAGCAACTCCAACAAGGGTGTGTGGGTATATTCAAGTAACTCTCACTCTCACAGTAACTCCAACAAGGGTGTGTGGGTATATTCAAGTAACTCTCACTCTCACAGTTACTCACACAAGGATGTGTGGGTATATTCAAGTAACTCTCACTCTCACAGTAACTCCAACAAGGGTGTGTGGGTATATTCAAGTAACTCTCACTCTCACAGTAACTCCAACAAGGGTGAATGGGTATATTCAAGTAACTCTCACAGTAACTCCAACAAGGGTGTGTGGGTATATTCAAGTAACTCTCACTCTCACAGTTACTCACACAAGGATGTGTGGGTATATTCAAGTAACTCTCACTCTCACAGTAACTCCAACAAGGGTGTGTGGGTATATTCAAGTAACTCTCACTCTCACAGTAACTCCAACAAGGGTGAATGGGTATATTCAAGTAACTCTCACAGTAACTCCAACAAGGGTGTGTGGGTATATTCAAGTAACTCTCACTCTCACAGCAACTCCAACAAGGGTGTGTGGGTATATTCAAGTAACTCTCACTCTCACAGCAACTCCAACAAGGGTGTGTGGGTATATTCAAGTAACTCTCACTCTCACAGCAACTCCAACAAGGGTGTGTGGGTATATTCAAGTAACTCTCACTCTCACAGTAACTCCAATAAGGGCGTGTGGGTATATTCAAGTACTCCGGCATGGAGCCTGCTGAAGTAACACTCACCCTCACAGTAGCTGCGACAAGGAGGTATAGGTCTATTTAGGTAGCACTCGGGAGTGTAAGCAGAACAGAAGAAGTCCTTTGCGTATGCATGGCATGGAATGTCAAAGAAGTCTTTGAAGTGGTTGTAGCGTGATATGGCCTGGGACTGAGTGACGTCACCAAACGCATTAGGATACATAGTGCTATGGTAGTTCGTCCCGTTGACGCAGGGGTGTAGACGCATCGGCTCACATGATGCTGGAATAGGAACACAGCGTTTCTTTAAGGGCCATTGCTTCATTCAATAAATGTGAAACGCCAGGAGAAAAGGGACCTTATGTGTGCTAGGATACAATTGTGCTTTGACGTCATAAAGTGAGTGAGTGAGTTGGGTTTAACACCGTTTTAACATTATTCCAGTTATATCACGGCGTGTCAGCTTAATGTGGGAGGAAAGCCCGAAGTGATGCAGGTCTCAGGCGTTTACCACTTCGGTGAAACCCACGAGCACGGGTACGGTGCTGACAAACCTAGAAACATAATCGGGGCGAACCGGGATTCGAACCCACAATCATAGGTTTCTGGCGTGCCAAAGGGACGCAACTCTGCACAGCGAATCGCGGCGCCGTAAAAGTACTGGGCCACCCGTGACCCCCGACGTCATAAAGACGTTTGACGTCAACATATATTACTTCAGTCAAGCTCACCATGTGTGATGTCAAGTATCTCTATAATAAAACTGATTTGAAGCTTGTGAATTGGATTGTTGTGTTCCGAAAATGCTGTAGTTTTAAAATTAAATGAAATGCCAAAATGTGATTTTTTACCCATGAGGTCCCTTACCTTATGGTTGGTCACAAATTATGCTGACAAATTTAGAAACATAATCAGGGCTAGTTTGAGGTTCCAACCTACGACTATATTTTTCTGGCACACTTAGGTTGGCAACAGCAAACTGCGGCGCTTTGGAAGACTAGGTCACACATGTACCCTTCTATTTGTGGACGATGTAGATTTAAATTGGAGTTGAGATATTGACAGGCATTATCCGCTGGAAATCATACATGTCGTATTGGAGTGTCTAAGTACTCGCTCTTGAACTTTGATTTCCGATATTGAACGCGCTTACCCTTGCAGTTGAATGAATGCTGGGATAAAAATGGCTTCAAATATGTTTTCAGAGACGCTCTTAAACATCAAACGTTGTCCAGTCAATTACATTTCATGGATCATTATCTCTCCTTGAATTTAATGGTTCGACATGTAAAAAGGAGTGTTTTTGTATGATCAGCTATATTTGTTCTAATCACATAACGTCCACTTTTAGCATCTAAGCCTTGTATGCGGCAGACAAGTAGACTTACTTGCTGGAATTGCCGGGCCTTCCGTACTTAATGGCACTGAAAATATAACATAATCACGTAAAAGGGGAGATATGTTATACATACATGGAGGTCTATACCTCACTTCATGTTATCGTCTAGATTTCATAATTACGCATTAGAACATGAACTGTAAGTAAATAGGTAACAGAAAATGAACTTAGACTAATTGGTAACAGAACATGAACTGTACGTAGATATGTAATAGAACATGAACAGTTAGTAGATATGTAATAGAACATGAACTGTACGTAGATATGTAATAGAACATGAACAGTTAGTAGATATGTAATAGAACATGAACTGTACGTAGATATGTAATAGAACATGAACTGCAAGGGACCGACCAATTGATATTCGGGGAGGGGGGGGGGGGGGGGGAGTAACAGAAGGGACCGTACATTTAAATTGCGGGGGCAGGCGGGCGGGGGGGGGGGGGGGGGGGGGGGGCGTCTTAGGGTTGTTTCGGAATAATTAAATAGACTCAGAAACTTCTTGAGAATAATAATTATGCTTCAGACTGTTCATTGAAAAAGAGAATTTAGTCTGACACAAAAATTACATTATTGTTAATATGCGTTTTCTAAAAGAATTTAAATATCTGATCTCCCATCCCATCCCAACAACCACCCCACCCCACCCCAACACCAGAATATCATATGGTCGGTCCCTAAGTCAATAGGTAACCTGACATGAACTGTAAGTAGTTAGGTGAGACAGCATAAGTAAATAAGTTACAGTATGAGATGGGGGCGACCAAGTTAAAGAAAATGAGCTTTCTGTAAATATGTAAGAGAACATAGAGATAGTTCAGGAATTGGTAACTATACTGAGAAGGAACTACCACATGAAAGTATTATTGTTAACAAAAACACCCAGACCCATGTGAGACCCAGACCCATGGCGGGTCTCATGTTTGCAGATCATCAAGGGATGCCGCGATTCATATTCTTGTGTCATACCAGAGACCATAAAATCGAAAATCTGTTTTATGGTCTCTGGTCATACCCTATACAGCCTCACTTGCACATCCTTCTCTCTCCTTGGGTGTGCTGATAGTTTAGAGCAAGGATGGTTATATCTACACGACACCTTATGTCATTACTAGGGCAACGCTTGCAAGCGATGTACAGCGATTCGCCTTTCAACCGCTTGCAATCGTACCAATTGCTGACTGAGGTCGCTTCCTTCTCAAACCAAAATGGCGGCTTAGTTCGACAGCGGAACGAGAAAATTCTTGACTGGATCAACTGGGAAATGAGCAAAGGCAGCTAACACCCCATCATCCCCAGTCTGCTCCACATCTTCAAAGTTGTCATAAATTTCATCAATTCGTCATGCAGCCTCTTCTATTACGTTCTTTATTAGGGCAAAGCAACCAAGCGGCAGTTGCGCCGCCATATTGGAAGGGTGCGCAAGCGCTCCGAGCTGTTGCAAAACCCAGGGATGAGCGATTAATTTGCTTACTCTAAGCGATTCATGGCTTGCAATGCACCCTAGGAGATACTGCTGCTCCGCTACTATGCGTAAACCTGTTATTGTAACAACTAGGCTTTGCACTGTATAGGTAACAATGGTAGGTGAGGTGAGGTGAAATGCGGTTTAACGTCGCGTCCAAGATTATTACACTTATATAGCGACGTGCATGTACGTGTGTGTGTGTTTGGCTGCTTGTACTAGTCCGGGCTGATGCCGATTTATAGTGCTAGCTCACTGAGATACCATGCCGCAGTTTAACACGAATACCCCACTCAGACACAGTATACTGACTCCGAGCCGACCAGTCCTTGTTTTAGCCCCTTAATGCCGAGCGCCAGACAGTGTAACAACAAGTACCATCTTTTAACGTCTTTTGGTATGACGCGGCAGGGGATCGAACCCCGGACCTTTCGCTCTCCGGGCGGACGCTCTACCATTAGACCACGGAGGCGGTCAACAATGGTAGGACAGGCAGCAATCTGAATCTGTCATGTTTCTGGTTATACCGCAGTAAAGAAATATGAATCCTACTATGAATCTTACACATTCTGTTTATCCCTGACAACGATGGGGAAACTCCACTCAAGGAAAACACTTATATCCCTATCTTATATACAGTAAACTACGTTTACAACGAACACGCTTATAACGAACTGGCGGATATAACGAACTGCTATTTAGGTCCCGGTCATATGCTATATATATATATATATATATATATATATATATATATATATATATACTTGTAACGAGATACGGTTATAACGAACTAAATTTGGTTGTCCCTTTGAGTTTGATATAACCGTAGTTCACTGCATATGTCTCCCGGAAACGATAACGTTACATATTACAACTTAAAAGGGTGGGACTTACCTTCGAGATAAATCTTCAGCGAAGACGGATCTATTTTGAATATGGAACCTTCCAAGCCTGTATGTATTATACTGGTCACGTGATCTACTGTGTCACGTGTTATACCTAATGATGTCTTGAAGTCGAGTACAAAACTAATAATTACACTACCGTGTCTGAAAAATACAAAAGAAAAAAGATAAATAAGTGACCATCGAAGCTATGCAGCAAAAGGATGATGACTGCCGCTGACTAACAAACTTTAACCGCCTAACTCGCTTACACGTGATGGACGTTAATATTCTTTGTGAATATCGATCAAGATTGTTCATGCCTCATGTGACCACTTATTATGGTTGTTTATTTGTCACCTGACCACTGATCGAGGTCGTTTTTCTTTGTCATATGATGACTGATGGTTGTTTAGACTTTTTTATCTTTTTTTTGTGTGTGTGTTGTTTAACGCCGCACTCAGCAATGTTCCAGGCATATGACGGCAGTCTGTAAATAATCTAGTCTGTACCAGACAATACGGTGATTTACATCACGAGCAATTAGGATACGATGACATGCATCAACCAAGTCAGCGAGTCTGACCACCCGATCCCGTTAGTCGCCTCTTACAACAAGCATAGTCGCATGGAATGCATGGGTTGCTGAAGTTGCTTAAGTCCTATTCGACCCCGGATCTTCACGGGTAGTTTGTTCGGTTGTCATGTGACCACTGATGGTTGTTTATACGTCAGTTGAGAATGAATCACGGCTGTTTATTCGTCATGTGACCATTGATCCGTGTTGTTTATTCGTCATGTGACCATTGATCAGTGTTGTTTATTCGTCATGTGACCATTGATCCGTGTTGTTTATTCGTCATGTGACCATTGATCCGTGTTGTTTATTCGTCATGTGACCATTGATCAGTGTTGTTTATTCGTCATGTGACCACTGGTCAAAATGTGTTTCATTCACCATGTGACGACGGACCATGGTTATTTATTTGTCTTCTGACCATTGATCACAGTTGTTTATTCGTCATGTGACCACTGACCGTGGTTGTTTAATATCACTTGTCAGATGACTGACCACCAATGGAGACAACGCTGCCCTGGTCCACATATGTCACGTGACCTGCTACGTCACCACCTGTAAGCTCCCTCCGCGTGACGCCATGAACGTCACACGCAGCGGCATTTAGCCCGAATACGACAGCCGGCGCAAAGAACCCCGGGGTTGTAAAATAACACGGGACATTATGCGAAAAGTCCTTCTTTAATAATGGAGGATGCAGTGACGAAAGAGCACTGAATTACTTCGCCGTGCGTGTTGCGCAAGTGCCAGCAGATCACAGAGCACAAATGATGGCTCTCTAATATAGCCCTAATGCTATTTCCTGTAGAAATATTTACACTGTACTAAATCTTTATTTTCTAATTTTGGCTGACATTGAAGGGAAAACGGATCGATAAGGTATCGACAGGCAATTTTCATGTTGCCTCATACGTAAGACAAAGTGCCCTGTAAAATGGTGGCGTCACGACCTCCAGGGCTCGTCTCAAAGATCATGTACACATTATGATCAAATTACACATATTTTGCTCACATGCAGGGACTGCCCGTGCATGTTTAACACGGCACATCGTTTCAATGACCGTGTTATTTTGAGACTGATGTTGTCCCACGTTGATATTCATGAAGACAAACATGTGATCCGATATACCATGCTAATTGATTTTCTTAAAATACATGACTATCAAATACTGAGCGTTTTAGGCGTGAGTTTGAATCGACATTTTCACATTTTCAGTTCTAATCGGATATTTTAAAATAAGCTCTTTCAAAAAATATAAAAAAGAAAATGGGGGCAATGTTCTGTTCCCGCTCATTTAAACAATACGTGCTTGAGAAGCATGTACTGTCAGTAAAACAATCAATTATCTTGATTTAGATTATAAATTATTCAAATAATTGGTTGTCAAAGTAGCAACACAGCGAACAATTTAGCTAAAAGGACTACATGTCTCCTGACTGACACAACAGATCCCCAGAGTGCGGACTCTCCCCTTCTGGGAGACGCATTGTCCACAATTGAATCCTTCGGGAAGAATGAAATGACCAAATACGTCGTGATACGACCCCTTGTAATATTTCCCTTACAGCTTGTTATACTTTATACCAAAACACCCACTTGTCCATAATGAGGGGATAGAAATGATGATAGAAAGCCCTGGCCTTACCTTATTTGTAATATATCCGTATCATTATACACATCTCTCAAATCACTGTCCCGGAAGACACCCATCATCTGAAACAGAAGAGCAAGCCCCGTTCACAAGCCGAGAAGAACAATAATATGTAGTGAAGAGGGCACTTTACCTGTCAGGCAACGGTTGACGACAAGTCGCCAACAAATTATTTCTGCCTTAGAGACACCAAGTGTACAACATGGTCTATTTTCGCCCGAATCCTCATAAACCGATTTGTAACACCGGTATTGTGCCTAAGATACAACGAAAACAAGGTCACAGTTTTGGTGACGTCTTCTGTGTTTATTGTAGAAAGCAGAATTCATTCATGACTGAAAATCAACGTGGTTAAAACCATGCAAACGGTTCGATTATTGTTTTACCCTGAAACAAAACAATCGTTTAGGATGATGATACCTTCGTGGCCCAGCCGGCTAAAGTGTCGCAATTCCCTGTGCAAGCTTCAATTCATTTTTATTACAGAGATACATGACATCACACATAGTGAACTTGACTGAAGTAATATAAGTTGGCGTCAAACGTCTTTATGACGTCGGGTGACACGGGTGGCCCAGTCCTATAGGGCGCCGCGATTCGTTGTGCAGAGTTGCATCCCTTGGGCACGCCAGAAACCTATGATTGTGGGTTCGAATCCCGGTTCGCCCCGATTATCCTTCTAGGTTTGTCAGCACCGTACCCGTGCTCGTGGGTTTCACCAAAGTGGTAAGCGTCCGACACCTGCATCACTCCGGGCTTTCCTCCCACTTTAAGCTGACATGCCGTGATATAACTGGAAAACTGGTCAAAGCGGCCTTAAACCAAACTCACTCATATTCAGTAATACATAGAGTGACATGAAACATAATGTTGAATGAAGTGCCACCGCGGCGAAGCGCATTTCTATATACTCCATGATGTGGATGAAGAGATGTACACATGTACTCAAATAACCAAAGGGGCGGTCGGGTAGCCTAGTGGTTAAAGCGTTCGCTCGTCACGCCGAAGACCCGGGTTCGATTCCCGACACGGGTACAATGTGTGAAGCCCATTTCTGGTGTCCCCCGCCGTGATATTGCTGGAATATTGCTAAAAGCGGGGTAAGACCATACTCACTCACTCAAATAATCAAATCTCGACCTGTAATAAGACAAGAATATACAGTTCGTATAGTTATCAATCTTCCTACACGTAAAAACAACTTTGACGTATTGAGCATAATCCATGCATTATTCAGATGGCATTATCATGCTCTCCTCACAAACAGAATATTTTACACCTATAAACATCTTTAAATGTACTGCTGCTGACACTTGCATCTCAAACTCATTATAAGGCCATCGACTCACTGGTGTCGGAAGCCCTGCAGTTACATAATGTTCTCAACATGAACAAGCTGCGGGGGCGACCTCGCTATATCCGTCCTCCTAGCTAAATAAAGATAAGGCCGGTGATAAAACACTTACCTATTGAGGAATACATTAACACAATGGCTGTGAATAATGTACCTATTTATGGGTGATTTGTTTACTTTTATCGATTCATTAGCCTCATTTCGACCCAAAGTGGCTGTAGCAAGTAATTGTTAAAGAGTGAATTAAGTTATAAGCGTATTACGTCCCTCGCGTCCTAGTTAAGCAGCCATCAATATATGATCAAGATTTGATGAAAATCCCATCATAGCATCTCAGATAAACGTTTTCCTATTACTGCTATTTCCTCTCACAACGCCGCTAGCCTGAACTAATAGATTCCAGCATCCCATAGCTTCTTGAAGTACTGCGACGTGCTGATGCTACCGTAGACGATGCCACTCTAACCGGGCCATAGTCTCAGAGCTGGGAGGAAGCTTACATCTTTCATAGGATTTGAAAACATTCTTTTAAAATCCGTTATTCGATGCTTCACGCAAAACCGAAAGGAAAGAAAATATATTCCATTATTCGGTTCGTCATTCTAAACCGAAATAGAAAATACATATATTCATTCAAATAGTCAGTACTCTCGGCTAGACCGGAGTTGAAGAAACATATAAGAAGAAAATTATTTATTTTTTGTCACATTGTACGTGTCACATATGTATATAGTTTTTTAAAATATTCATTGTTAAAAAAATGTACAATATCAGGCCAAGGGGCCTGTGAGACACCCACCTCAATAATAATAATAATTAAAAGGTAATATATCACAATCTTGCCATATTGTGGCCAAAAGCCACCTCACACATACGTATATTAATATAGATGCACAAAATCAGCCACACACCAAACATATAAAATTGTACCTCTCCTCCATCCTTTCACAATATAGGCGTACCTGTCATCTGTCCACTTAAAGGGAGGGGGCGGGGGGTGGGGGTGGGGTGGGTGTTTACAGACAAAAAAAGACCATTCAGTTTTGCAATGCATACAAACCGCAACCATCTATCAAAGTATACCAAACTAAGTTTACCATGTACATACTTTCACACAAGTCCATTCTTTTCATATAGACATCTTTTAACGTCAGACATAAAGTACATATATACCATCACGCACTATGTAAATATCATACAATATATGAGAAATAAAGGTGTACTAGTTTTCCCGTGATCACAATATTAAATGTTTACATGTGATTATTGATTTAACAAAATCTTATTTCTTCGTTGAAATATTTGTGGTACTACGGCGGCTAGGGGTGCAACAAGCTTATCATTCCGCATTAAGAATACGGTCAGGTAGGCAGGGGACATCTGCATAAAAGTTGGGTTTAAGTTAGGCGAAGTTTAGACAGTATTGTCTGGTCTGGTCCCTTACTGGAGTGTGTGGTCTAGATCCGAGTGTTACAGGCTGCCGTCGTATGACAAGCGTACTGCCGTGCTGCGTAAAAACTCTTACTTTTTAGACAAATTGTATAAGTGGCGGGTTCTGCCGGTAGAGCAGGATATGCTTTATCTTATCATACCTGGGCCCCGTTCCTCAAAGCGCTCTTAGCGCTACGATGATTGTAAGCCATGTGAAAGTATGTGACTTACGATCACCTTAGTGCTAAGATCGCTTTGAGGAACGGAGCCCTGGTGTTATCATTGGTTTTCCCTAATCCATTCACATATACAGTAAAATGCGGTTATAACGAACACGTTTATAACAAATTGACGGATATAACGAACTAACTTTTAGTCCCGACTATTTACTGTAGTTATGCTGTATATATGCTTATAACGAACTACGGTTATAACGAACTAAAATTTGTAGTCCCTTTGAGTTCGTTATAACCGTAGTTTACTGTCTTCACTTTTTTGTCTTTTACGCCCAATGGAATCCGTTTCGGCAGCTGATTAAGACTGTTTGTTTGTTGTTTGATTATTCTCTGGCGTTGTTTGTTTGATTATTCTCTCTTGTATATTTATGACGTACTTTGTGTAAAAGCGAAGGTGAGGCAATATAGTATTACACATTCCTGTAAGCGGTAATTTATCTAAAGCAAAGGAGGCATAAACATATATTTCTATACTCCGTCCTTCATTCTAAACCCAATGTGAAGAAACATATATTCTCTTATAAGGGACTTTATGTAAAAAGGAGAATAAAAAATATATTCCGTTATTCGGTACTTATTGCAAAATAGAAAGTGAAGAAACATACCCTTTGTTTCATTGTACATGTTTCTCATTAGCAGAGTGAACATATTCCTGTACGATGTTCATAGTGAAGCAACACATGTATCTCCCAAGGCACTGGCTTATAGGAATCAGACTTTCTGCTTGGATTGGCAAAGTCAAAACAAGGTAATTTGGCCTAAAAGTTTAACTAAAACTTTAGGTGTATCGATGATCTGATACCTTCCAATAGCCATCAAATAGAGCAGTGAGGCCGCTTCATCTGTTTCATGTTTAGATCTATGCATAAAGATTCAGTGACAAAACACACTCCACAAGACTGTATGACAAGTGGGATGGCTTCAAACTTTCCAATTGTCAACTTTCTTTTTTGTCGAACAATATTCCTGCAGCTCCAGCCCTTGGTGTCAACATTTCACAACTTTTGAGGTACAATCGAGCACGTTCGTTCTACCAAGACTTCAAAGACTCTTGGTCAGAAGTTGTTTGATCAGGGTTACAACATTCAAGGCCTCAGTAAAGCTTTCAATTTTGTTATGGTAGTCACGTGAAGGACATTTCCAAATTTGACACATCAGAGACACAACGATGTCCGATGCAATTTCCAAATTTGACATGGCATGTTTCCGTAGGTTTTTTTCAGGTGAACATTTGACTTGTCTTTGCATGTGTTTGTGATGGTTGCCACCGATGGGGCAGGATACGTTCACCTTTTCGCGAACACCTGGAATCATCTCCATTTGATACTGATTCATAAACACATGATCATGATATAGTTGGAGTCGTACAGCCGACTCTGTTTTTGGCAGATATTCCCTATGAATATGGACAGGATTGTGTCGATTCTATTTACTTATACAGAGATTGCCGCAAAAGGCACGTTTTTCCCTGGTATTTTGTTGTACAGAGAATGAGAAGACAGGTATTCGTTATGTAGAACTACCATGTGGTAGAGAGAACAGGAAGACAGGCATTGGTCATGTGGAACTACATCTTCCCGAGGCAAGGGAGTTAACTGACTTTAAAAGTCCAGTTTCCACCCTCGGCGAACTAGACTGGAGTTATGGAGTTATATTTTGGCTGGACTAACGAGTCTATGCACAGTCCAATCGAAATCGACATCCGGTTCGTAAACTGTCTGGAAGATGTCGGTCGATTGAAGGATTTGCAAAGCATGGGCACCGCCAACTCGGCGTCAACAGATATTTTCCAAATCTGTTCATGTTTTAATCAAGGTGCTCACGTGATTTGATGCACTTCGAGAAGTAAGACCCGTTTTATTACGATATAGATCTTGATTATCGATTATATGGCCTTCACTGGGGGCAGTCATTTTGTTTAAGCAAATGAAACTGATATAAGAGGTGGTACGATCGAGCCGAGAAATTCCAGCAAGTTCGGCAAGGATGGAAACAGGACTTTGACGGTCAGTTAACTCCCTTGCCTCGGGAAGATGGTGGA